GTGTGTGTGTGTGTGCGTATGTGTGCGTGCGTGCGTGCGTGCGTGCGAGAGAAAGAAAGGGGAAGAGGGAACAAGAACACATTAGCGGAGGGCTTGAGTGAGACAGGGAGGCACCGGAAGGGGTTCATGGGCATGGACCGGGCGATGGGCAGCAGGCTGACGCACCGCCCTGCTCGACGAAGGCGCTGTAGGACTTCAGCGCGTTGTCCGCCTGTTTCTGGGCCTGCTCATAAATCAGGGACTTGAGAGTGCGAGTGCCAGGCAGCCATTGGATCAGCCCCAGCTGCAGGGTCAGGGGCACAACGGCGTAGGTTTGAATGCGCGCCTGGCCCAGATCCGAGGGGGCCACCACGCCGGAGCTGGCCGGCCACTCGGTCGGCCAGTCGACGGGTGCACGACGCTCTTCCGATCTAGGGACTTGAGAGTGCGAGTGCCAGGCAGCCATTGGATCAGCCCCAGCTGCAGGGTCAGGGGCACAACGGCGTAGGTTTGAATGCGCGCCTGGCCCAGATCCGAGGGGGCCACCACGCCGGAGCTGGCCGGCCACTCGGTCGGCCAGTCGACGGGTGTGCGCAGGAGCTCGCCCAGGCCAGGCGACCCACCCAGGACGCCGGGGCTGTCAACCATGCCGGCAGGCATGTCGCTGGCACCGCCGCCGGCAAGCAAGACCCGATTGAGGAGGCTGAATACCTGCTGCACACGGGCATCCAGGCGCAAATCCTCCCCGCCCTTGACCAGGAACGTGTGGGACCGGGCATCCGACGCGCGCAGGGTGATGCGCTTCGGTTTGCGCAGGGACGACAGTGTGGCCATCACGGGCGACAGGCCAACCACCCGAGGGGGCTGCCACGCGCCCGCGCTGCCGGTCGACACCATCGCCACATTGGTCCAACGCGCGGCGGCGAAGGGGATCTGCTCGCACGGGGACTCGTGTCCCGGCAAAGTGATGGGATTCTGTCGGGGGAAAGGGGGGAGATCGGAAGAGCACACGTGGGTGATGCGCTTCGGTTTGCGCAGGGACGACAGTGTGGCCATCACGGGCGACAGGCCAACCACCCGAGGGGGCTGCCACGCGCCCGCGCTGCCGGTCGACACCATCGCCACATTGGTCCAACGCGCGGCGGCGAAGGGGATCTGCTCGCACGGGGACTCGTGTCCCGGCAAAGTGATGGGATTCTGTCGGGGGAAAGGGGGGGGGGGGGGGGATTAGGAGACAATGGAGCGTCAAGAAGAAGCATCAGGCTCTGTCCATCGCCACTTGCAGGGCAGCCACACACACACACACACATCAGGGGAGGATGATGCCCCTGCTGTCCTTCCCCATCGAAGACCCTGCGTGTCATCGTCTCACCCCAAGGCAGGGACATACCTCGCTGGCTGGACCACCCACGGCGAAGAGGCGCCGAAGCCCGGGGGCAAAGTAGTCCAGGGAATTCTGCCGACCGGCCGGAATCGCAACCGGCCGGGCCTCGCGCGAAGCCTGCAGCACCTCATTCACAAATTGTCGGAGCTCATGCAGACCCTTGTGTGTGGCAATATATGGCAAAGGCAGGGGCGCATGGGACCAACTTACGGCCATGGAATGCCGACGTGGGAGAAGGCTCGTGATGCCATCGAGCGCGGGCACCAATCGGCGCTTGTTTAGCAGGAAAAATTCGGCATCTGGTTGTCCGACAGGGGCGGCGGCGGGGGCGGCGGGGGCGGCGGCGAGGACAGCGAGGAAAAAAGAGAGCCGAAGCAGGGGTGAGTGTCGAAGTTAGGAACAACCAAAGGAGAAAAGTGCACAGAACAAGGGTCATCAGGGGGGGGGGGACCGGGGAAAAAAAAGCAGCATCGGGGCAGGGAGCCGGGCGCACGAATGGACTCATCGGAAGACCGATCGGCCGAGGCAGCACGTCGGCCGGCTTTCTGCGGTCCGGCTCCGGCGCGGAATTGCTCGAGCATCTGGCCGAGGCGTCGGTTCAGCCGGGTGGCCACATTGATGTGGTGCGAGAAGTCCGTCCGGTCGTCGGACAAGGCCCGGCCCCCGGGAGCCTGGGCCTGGACAACCCGCTCGAGGGACGCCTGGTGCGCGGTCAGCAGGCCATGCAGGCCGATGGCCAGGTCCTTGAGCCGATGTTCGGGATTCGTGAGCAGGTCCAGCTGGCTGGTCCACGGGTCATGATCCACTGGGTCAAGCTGTGCCGGGCAAGTCGATTGACAAGCGTGGCATGGCCCATGGTCCGGCACAGATGTATGTATGTATGTATGTTTGTGTGTGTGTGTGTGCGTCAGTATTTGGAAGCACGTGCCCGCCCACCATGCCCTGACCCTTCCGGCGCCGCCGCGGGAACACGCACCTGGCTCGAAAGGGCCGACAGCTCGGCCAAATCTTTACTCGAAAAGAGCATCGACTGACGCAAGTGCTCCAGCGTCACCCGCAGGGGGAGCCGCACGGACTCGGGGAAGTCCGCCGCAATGCGCCGGAGAAGGGCCAGCAGAGCGGCGCGCTCGCCCGGGCCCCCGGCCCGAGGCTGCAGCCGGCCCACCACCTGCGATACCCAGCGTGTCAGAGGCCATGTTTGCAAGTCCGGGCGCTGGGCAAATGCCAGGAGCAGGCCTGCCGGACTGGCTGCCTGTCCGGAGGCGCTTTCACCCTCATCAGCAAAGAGGGCCATCAGGTCGAGCACTCGGGGGAGATGATCGGCGGCTGGGCCAGCACATTGCCACCACCGGTTGGAAGAGTTAGAGCTGGCCAGCCGAGGCGCCGGAAAGCCCCATGCGAAGGCACCCCCCCCCCACCCACCCACCCTCGCACGGGCACGGGCCACAACGCACTCTGGACACTTGGCCATTCGACCATGGCATTCAGCAGCTGGGTGATGCAGGCCGCGGCGAACAGCTGCCGGTGGCGGGCGTGCAGATTTCTCCGAGTCCCAGGCGCGCCCGCCCGGCCGGCGGCAGGAGTGGCTGCCGAGCTGGCGGTCGTCTGCCGCAAGGCCCGATCGCAGAAGGCCGCATATGCCAAGCGCACGCGCGCCCGGGCCAGGCGGGCGGACAGCCACCAAGACCCACCGGCCATCGGGGCCTGGTTGTCTGGCGCCGCCGGGCAGCCGAGCATGTCGTCGGCCCGCTCGAAGCTGCAGATGTGGATGGTCAGTAGGGTGGGGGGGGGGG